TTTTCGTAAATGCGTTCCCGCTGGTATGGGAGAAATAATCAAACATTTGCAAGTTTAGGAAATTTGTTTGCAGGATTTGCAGAACTGTACGTCGTCAGAAACCAAAATGCTCACAATAGTGGATGGGTTATAGTAAAAATAAATTGGGGAGGAACGTCTGAAGAGGTCTCTGTTCACGAATACAAGTTTATACATCGCAAGCTTTCTGCAATGCAACGAACGTCTATTGAGAAGATGGACAAGTTATTGAAATTAACGGACGAGCTTAGTTAGTTCCCTTAAGGAAAGCATTTCAAAAGCGTATACGTCCACTTCTAATCGCCTCAGGAAACGCAAACATCCGAAACGCGAAAAGCAATTTCAAACATTCGGTAATGACAGATTGTAATCGTCCTGTCCCTCATACGGACAGTCTGTTTTAACGAAGGCACACATCGATGATAATAATTCAGCTAGGGCCTTCATCGTCAATTTAAAACACTCACTTCCACGTAAGGAACTTCAGGAAGCGTTTGTACGTACGAAACCTCAACCTAACGGAAGGGAACCACTTGCCTTCTATCTTAGTAGAGGATTATCTTTGTGAAAGTGCCAATAGGAGATTTGTGTAGCGTAAGCTTTAATATTTACGTATATTTTCGACGCTCAATTAATTCACGAAACATTATATAAGAAAACACCTCACTAAGCTCTATCTGATAAAACAATGTGCGATCTCTCGGGAAACTTCTACTGCAGAGAGCCCGTGACTGTAGGATTAGTAAAGGAAAAAACACTCACCCACAGGGCTTAACCGTGAAAAGAATGTAAGCCGAGGCTCGGTCGGGCTCGCGTTCGACAAAACTGAGACATGTGCCATTTTCCCAGATTCGCATTGCCTTCAACATGTTCGCCCTTGCGTAACCTTCAGAAAAATAAAAGATATGTTTTAGCATAACGCTACGTCTTCTTCATAAAAGAAAGTGCAGCCTTGCCATATAAAACAGTTATGTCCCAACAGGTAGATGAAAAACCACAACAGCTAGTTCGGCAGACAAATGGTTTACTCTTAAACTGCAAAAACGCGCAGCTTTCTTCCAACGTAAACTTATTCCCTACACAGACCTTCTCAGAGTTTTCAAAGCCCTACGAAGCTCAAGTCAAGAGGCTCACACAAAGCTCAAAAGATGACAGAGCCCCGACTCCGGAGCGAAATACCCCGCGGAAAAAAATGAACCGGCAAACGAACAATCCCGACGTGAGTTCAACCGCTCACAAACCCTTACCCATAAGCGGAAGTGTATCACCGCCCTTGCAGCCATTCTCCCGGCAGATATCCTCTAGAGGATCGAAACAGCAACAGAACGATCAAGTCGAGGTTGGTAAACGCACCCTATCACACACTGCCGAATCCATTCGCTTACCTGCAGTGCACGCCTTGAAAATGGAGGGTCAACAGGGCTCTCCGCAAAAACACTATTTCAATAAAATTGTTCCGAAGAACTGGCGTTATTGCGCGCATTATATGATTCCAATGACGTGACCTGCCACCAATTATGAAACAATCATAATTTGACAATTATTACTGCAGTCCTTTGGTTTGTCCAGTTTTAGTCCAAGGAGTCCCAGATTGTCTTCAAAATGGGCTGCTTATTTGCAGTAGTTTTATTTCTTCATTAATCTTCCTACTTTCATCTAGATCTTAATAAAATCTTGGTTATTCTTAATGCATGCACAGGTATTGTCATTTCTCGATGTAGGTCAATTTTGTGTTTGCTAAATTACAGTTAATATCATGATGAAACACCCAATGAATGTCTACCGGCACGCAATGGGAAATTGCCATTTACAGTTTGGTCAAACATAGGAATCTGTAAAGTTTTTCTTGTATTCCAGGTACTGCAAACAAAAATGTTGTTATTGAACGCGCAGCACGTGTTTTTTTCTTACGAAGGGAGTGAAATTTATGTACAGTAATAGTTTCTTCATTAAGGTCTTCCCTTGCCGTTTGCAATGGAATTACAATACGCATTTACGGCGTGACTTGTTCATTAAACGTTATTTTTTTTCCGTTCACCTCACTGGAAACGCTTCGACATCCAAGTCTATGAATAATATCCTCTAACGATGTAGTTTCTATCCCCGTCTCCGTAGCTCCGCATCCAACTGTGTCCTCTGCGGATTCTACTGACGCTGCTTATTATCTTAATGTAGTCGTCAACGTAATGCATAGAACGATACAGCGCATTTTATGATTGGAACTCATGTTTCGTGCGCAGGCTACTCGATTTGTAGTTTTAAATAACTGTTGGAATATAACTGCTATTCAGTCTCGAACTGATGCATTTAACATTTTTCGGACATTCCCAGGTTATGCAGGCCGCAATCCGTGAATAGGGCATTAAAAACAATAAAACATGAGGTGATTATACACATGTACCAAACCTCATATTTCCATATACAGTCACTCACGTGAAAAGCCCGGTTCTATTTCATAAGGAATGACTCCAAATGGCCAGATTTCGTCCACTATAGATGTTGCTGCCCGCCGTTTGCGCCGCTTCGTTTCTTCTGCGGCGATGACAACAGTATCTATAATTTTAGGCGACGTTGACTGTGATTTCTGTTTGACTCCAGTTTGATCTACCTCTTCCACCGATGAATGCTGAAGTGTCTGAGACTGTTTTCTCCTGCGCCATAAATATAAACAAAGGTAAGAAGTAGAACAAGTAATCGTAAGAGGTCCTCATAAGCTACACCGCAATGTACTGTAACAGACGTAAGTACTTATTTCGTCGTGGTTGGTTATTTAAATGAGCTATTATTTTATTTTAGTTTGATTAGTTCTGGTTTAAGTTTCAAGTAGTTTAATTTACTTCAGTGTAGTTAAGGTTAGTTAAGTTAGTATGGTTTAAGTTTTGTTTCATTTAGTTTTGCTTTTAGTCTATTACATAGTTTTATTAGCTTTAGATTACTTTGGTTTAGTGCTAATTTAGTTATTTATGTTATAGTAAACTACGATGTTACATATAATGAAGCTGTATCCAAATAATTTCCAACTATGTGACTTGGAATAAGCATTAAGTTACTATCCAGGCTTCACTTGCCATAGTCTTTTTTTCATACTCGGAAAGTCGAACTGGTTCCGTGTGCATCGATGTAAATGTGTGTACCAACAGACTCCCTTATTTGTTGTTCTTCGAGTAATTGAAAATCCTCATCTACTTCCTGCTAAGGTAAGCCAATTGACATACACGTCGTTATGGATTGCGTACCGCGTGCATTTATTTCCACCAACGGAACGCCTAAGAAGACATTTTGGGAATATTATGCAATTATTTTGTCAACGACTTACAGACAAATACTGAAGCAAAACAACCTTATAAGCGATCGTCCGCAATCTCACCGCACCAAATTTTACACCCCTGAGCGGCGATCCCGAATATTTTTATTCAGGGTTCACTAACTCCTACGTTATATCATTTTAAATAAGCTTATATTGTTCTGTCTGCGTGTATGGGAAATAGTTAGACATTTTCTTATTTTTTGCCTAGAAGATCAATATAGATTCCTCGCAGAAATTTCTTATCGTTGGTGGTCCCCTCCAACGCATATTACTGCTCCCTGTATGACTGTCAACAAGGGCTCAACACTGAGCTCCAAACCAAAACAGTCACAGCATTTCACTTAGCCCGATTGGTAACGCACTCATTTAAGAGCTTCATAGTTAAAAGAGGCCAAAACTAATCAAAAAATAGTGTAGTTAATCCAAAGATGTATGCGCTGGGCTCTGCATGCCGGTTCCAGATCGATTATTCGATTAAAGGAATTCTTATCTGAGGCACAGGCTTTAGTCAATTATCGGGCTTTCTGCCGGCGGGAGCGGCTATCTTCGCGGCTCTGAGAGCTGATTGAATCCTCTCGATCAGATGAGAATTCAGTCAATCGAATTATCAAGCTGGCGCCAAAATTTAGAGACCACTATCTACTATAAAGCAACTGAATGGGGTCATCCACCTTTAACGGTCTAGCACAGTTAACATTGGTTGCCACATCCGTTCTGCCTGAATAACCCCTACGATCATGTCGGTTGTTTTGTTGTCATATCAGCATGGATACTTGAAATCATTTCACGGGTATTTTGACGAACGTTCAGAATTTGCGTTGGTAAAAACAGCAGTTGCCAGCATTGAGCATGAAAACCTGCATGAAAAATTAAATATTAAACAGTACTTTACGCACCGTATAGTGAAATCTACTGAATTATTTTGGTTGCGAATTGTTTTTTCTGAAAGACCATCCTGAGCACGTTTGCCCTTGGAAATCACGCCAGATTCACCGCGAATGTTGACTGTCTCGTCGCCTCTCCGGGGCTTTAAAACTCCACTGTCCAGCTGATAGTCTTGCTGTCTCATTGCCTGCAGGTCTGAATCCAAGTAGGCGGCGTTTTCCACAATATCGCC